GCCTCTTTTACAAACTGCAACAACACTTCCTGAAAGTCACAGGAGATAAGGGGCGAAAATTTGTTTTTTGTTATACCTCAAAACCTTTTACGTGAAATCTTCCACCATGAAAACGGTGTTTGCTGCTGAAGCAGAACAGCAGACGATTAAAAAAATACACATAATGGAAAATGTTAAAAAAGGACAATTTACTCATCCCATCTTGCTTTGTGCTGATATTTTAAAAGCGAATTGCTGAAGGCAAAACAGACCCGAGAGCTTTTAAAGCAGACTTGTGTTGGGTTTGGAGAGCAGGGGGGAAAGTTCACGGGGACATTTATTGTGAAGTATTGCAAACAAAGTGTTTTTTATCTCAATAACGTCTGCTCCGAAGAAGGGAAAGAAACTCTCGCCCTGAACCCGTGATCATCTCGTGGAACCGCTCTGACTGTGGTAATTCAATTTGACACACACAAACGCACACAGTAGCACTCTGAAGAAAACAGTGCTGTCATATTTTTCATGGATACGATCTTTCTGCTGCTTCACGTCTCCACAGATTCTTTATATTTTTGGTTCTGAGATGTTTTAAAGCAGCCTGTACGCTCGTGGTGGAGACCAAAGCCAGCAGGTTTTTGTACACGCTCCATCAGCTTCTCTTCCCTTGCATCCACCATGTGGTGCTGAGCACTGAGGGTTTGTTTGCTGCTCGAAACAGGAACAGGAATTTAAAAAAGGAACGACTCCAATGAAGCAGAGACGATGCTGATAGCTTCTGTACATTTAATTGGGCTGCAAAAAACATGCATTTTAATTACTGATTGCATTATTATTTATTCAGTAAATTAATTAACTGCTTGGCCTAAAAATACCCTGCAAAGTGCTGTTTTTAATCAACTGCCAACAACAGAGACCCGCAGGACCATCAATATATTTTACATGTATTATTTTACGAGATGCTCTTTAAAAACAAATCATAAAGTCCGTGTGCTGGGACATGATGGTGTGCGCCACAGTTTGAGTGGCTGGTAATGATTCATTACCTGAAAATGACTGTTTAGTGTGTGGCTGGAGAGCCAGCTCTCATCACCAGATGTCTACCTGAATATCAGTCTGACAAAGAAGCTGATGTTTGCTTGTAAATGTGCACATGCAGGTGGTCAGGAAGGGTCCACAGGTGCGTGGGAAGGTGACCTCAGGCCTCACTGAGCCCCTGACATGCAGGTTGCATGGGGAAAATGTGACTTTCCTAACCAGCTGGCATGTGGGAGGTGGAGTCTGTGAAAATAGAGGGTGGTGCACTAAAACCCTTCTTGCGATTGCTGTGGTCATGAGCAGGCGGCCACAAAGTAACGTTTAAAGTTATTACTGAGTTCAGAGGATCGGCGGCGCCTTTGTGCAGTGAGTTGTTGTTGAGGTGTGCGTGCTTACATGCTGCCCTGCTCCACGTTAGGTCCTCTGATGTAGAACGGGACTCTGATGTCAAACTCGTACGGCATAGATTTACCTGTAGACACACACACACACACACACACGTTATTAATGCTGTCGTTTGTAGCTGAGCTGGTGACACTGAAGCTCGCACACACAGGTGTGTTTTGCTGTCACGTTCTGACGTTATCTTCATGCAGTTTTCTGATGATCAAACACAAAACATTTGTTCCTTTAAACTCAAACATTTTATTATCTTGGATTCTTCAGATGTTCTTTACGTGCATCTGAAATCCTGTTTGCTGTTCAGCCCGTACTAACAAAGAGCGATTGTCCAATTTCCAGACTCTTAGAATTTCGCTGTTTATTTTGTACATAATAATGTTTCATCTGCTGGAGATGGGTTCTTAAAATGAGTCTGGCACACATCTCACAGTGTTCCTCCCTGCACTGCAGCTGTTTTCCTACTAAAAGAAAATCTAAAAATCCTTTAAATCACAAATCAGGATGTTTCCAGATGATAATCAAGTTTAATCAGTTATAAAAATAATCACAAATTCTTTCTTCCATCAGCAGAAAAAGAACCAGGCAGACACAACAACCTTATTCTCTGTTCGTACCTTTAACGAGGCCGAACTGGCCGATGTGGTAGCCGTGATCTGACGTGTAGATGATGTAGGTGTTTTCCAACTCGCCCGTCTCCACCAGCATGTTATACAGCTGAGAAACAAACA